GATGTGAAAGATCCTCGAGCATCTGTGCTACTCAATAGAACATTTGATGGTTTACCACCGTGTCTATTCATAGTTGCTGATCTTGATATTCTTCGAGATGGAAACTTAGGTATGAAAGAGAATAAATTAATAGATTTTATAGGAAGTCTAATTTTCATCTTTTAGAATATCAAAAATTGCTTGAAAAAGCTGGTGTTCAAACAAAATTAGTACTAATGAAAAATGTCATTCATTTATTTTTTACTTTACCAGGTAGAACGATAAAGAAATTGTTCTATAGAATTATTTTAATATTTTAATATTGAAATTTAGGAATTTTTCCACAAACATGTGCAGAAGCGACTGATGCTATTCGAGATTTCATGGCGTCAATTTGACCAAATACTAGAAAAAAACGTTGCTAATTTTTCTATATACATTGAGAAAAGTAGCATCTTAGTCATAATTATTATATTAGCTGCTTCTATAATGATCATAATTCTTCTGTCTTATATGATGATTAATTAATATAGCTTTCAGTTTTATTCAAATGTTATAATTATGAGTGTGGATGTGGGTGTGGGGTGTGAGTGTGATCTTTAATTAAGTCCACAGCCACATCCAGACCCAGACCGAGACCCACACCCGACCCACACCCCACACCTCACACCCACACATCTACACCCACACCCTAGTCCAAAAACCAGTTTTCGGCGTAAGGACCTATGAAAAACCAATTTGTATTCGTCGTAAATAGGCGCATTCGATGTAGAATTTTTTACTTTATCAGATCCTATACGAGTCTCGTGGATAATTAAGTTTTTCATTATCGATAAATGCCAATTAGTGTTTCAATTGAGTCATGGGTCTACAAAAGGTGAGACGTTCTTTCTTTTAAGAAGTTATTGTTTCTATAGGTGCACCTGCAAGATTTCTTCACCAAACGTGTAATTTAATGTGCACTTTCTGATGAGACTATTTTGAAAGTAAAATTTCAATGCCTAATTAGTAAAATACTGTTACTTCACACATCCCTGGGAAGGACTAGAAGTAAAATTTCGAACGAAAATAAAAGTCATAAAAACAATTGAAATATACATAATTCGACTCAGTTTTTTGTTCTGCTTCTAAATATGATATTTGTTTTTGGATCATCAGGAATTATTTTGATCGACGACTGTCGAATGTCGGTCAACAAGTACTCTATTGAGGCATCAAGAATAGTCGTCAGACCAAAAGTGCCTTACTAAACTTTTCCTATTTATTGCATCGGCTTCCGCAACATACAACCAAACAAGAAAACTCGATTCCAAGTAAAAATTTAGAAAAGAAATATTACTGTACGTCGAATTGATTTGCTAAAATGATCTAAAATATTGAAAATAATAAACTAAAATACTTACCATTCATTGATTTAGTTCATCAAGATAACCTAAAATAAATGAAAATACTTACTATTCATTAGCTTGGTTCCAGTTCCAGTCCTGCAGGACTCTAGTCGTGTCAGAACGGATTTTAAAGCCATGAAGACAGTCACTCAATCAAGATAGAATAGGAAAGATTGCATAAAGCAGTCAGACGTACATCAACTCGCTGAAATACTTCGCATTTCTTTTAGCTAAGGTAAATATCTATCGATACTTTATTCATTGTGATCTATATACATTCTCATTGCATTAATCCAAGTTCAGATTGACTCCAAGGAGAAGAGAGAATATGTAAATATCATGTCCACTTACGTACAAAATAATATCGAATGAATACTACAAAAATATGTTTGGAGATTAAACTGATTCTAAGTCAATTTTCGATTAAAGTCATGCATCATTCTTGATGATATGTATCGACAGTGATTTGAAAGAATTTAGTGGGCACAATAAAAAAAAATGAATCAATACAAGATCGTTCTTCTACTTCTTGTCGTATGCTGGTGGTGTTCGGCGACGAAATGCAATGTTGAAGTACCAACGGAATCATTGAAATCACATATTACTGGTGGATACAAAAGTAAGTTGATTTCACATTGCAGAGTAATAGTCGTCATCGTCATATTCATTTTAGATATCGAAACGAGAAACAGCAAATCGGTTCTAGATTGCAACTAGTATGCAAATGATAATGAGGTTCTCTATTATTTTCCGTTTCGCATCATGATCAATCCAATGGTATATGATTGGTCTAACAGCATCGGTACAATGGACAACACGAATACTTTTGTCTATTCACTCGATCTCACAGACACAGGCAGCACTATTCCTGAAAGCATCTTCTGCTTAAAAAACTCCGATATCTGATCATCAAAAACATGGTTTTCACCAATGGTAACAAAGTCATCTTCTTATACTGATTGAATCTTTCCTTTAGGCATTGTACCAGATACTTTGGCAAATCTACAGTGGTTGCAAGACCTTATCGTTCACAATACGTCCATTATCAATATAACCAATCAGTTAGCCTCTCTCACTCGTCTATACTGGCTAACCTTGAACAATTGTTCGTTTTCTCAGATACCTACTCTCAGTAATATGCCCGATTTGCGACATGTTTATCTTGAAAACAATCATTTATCCAAAATTGATGGATTGAGAAGCAATATTGACTGTCTACATCTTTCTGACAATTTGTTCACTGAGATACCAACTTTGATGACTCCAAGAAGCCTTTCGATCCTTCGTATGAACAATAATCCTCTGAAAGATGTAATGACGCTGCATTCTTTCATTAATCTCGCAGTTGTTGAACTCCGCAATACAACACTCTCATTCATCCCTACTACCATCGACAAACTTCATTGGCTGAAATATCTTGATTTATCTTACAACAAACTGGTTGATTTGCCCAGAACTATTCTCAGATTGAACAATCTCCAAAATCTCTACATCAACAATAATATGTTCTCCCCCGATGACATCCAAATAATAAAAACGGAATTGAACAGAACTCATCCAAATATTACTCTACGCATCTAGCTAGTGTAATATGTTTTCATTGAAAACATCAGTAAAAATCTAGTGATTGAACCCACACCCACACCCTTAAGGTTGAATAATTTGTTGAAAATTTTTGTTTCAATATCAAATGTTTTCTGATAATATTTAATTATTAAAGAATAATTTCCTTGTAAACGATGTAGATGAGCAGTGTTATTGTAGGTAGTAGCCAATGCATTATTAACAGGAAGAAGATGTGCAATTCAACTTTTAAATCCTTATAATGATATTTGAATAGTTGATCAAAATGATTCTGCTTTTTAAGAAGAATTCTAAAATTTATCTCTTTGAGTACGGGATGTTTCAATTTCAAGAAATTGTAAATGTTAACATGATCAAACCGCTATTGCGCATCCATCCCACTCTCAAAATTTCTCTAGTGAGGAGCTCGTACACGTATGAGTCGTATTTGTTCTTATGATACGGACTGATCGCACGCACGGTACACGTCTCTGATGCATACACATGAGCAAGGCAAGGTTTATTTTTTCTTTATCAATGACGCATGCGTGTATGCATCAGGAGTATGAGCACGCCTCAAAATTAATGTAATTATAGCTCGTGACGCATATACATGTAGTCATTAACAAAAAGGTAATTAGGTTACATGTGATCATTTTTCTTTCTGTTTGTCAAATAATTTCGTCATATATGCATATATAAAGCACATGAGTACTCACATTATTTTATTTCATTATAGTTAATTTACATTACGAACCATTATTCAAAAACTATTTTAAACATTATTTCGTTGTTTTTGGCAATCGTGTCATGTTTCCTAATATATGCAATTTTATTTTGAATCTATTACTGGAGAATCGCATTATATTTTATCTCATGATACCAATCATTTCGGTAATAAGTTCGTACATCGTTCAAAAGAAATATAGAAAAAAAGTTCAATTTGTTTCAAATATTCCTGAATATGATCATGCTATAATTATTGGAGGTAGTTTTGGAGGAATGGTCACTGCTGCTTATTTATCAAAATATTTCAAACGAATAACAATCATAGAATCAGATGATGTATTAAATGATACTTTCAACAAATCTACACCCAGCGAAATATTAGATTATCGTTGTCATCTTGAAAGTCCAACATCAATAGGACGTTCGGGTGTTAGTCAAATCTATCAACCACACACAGTCGCACGTGAAGGATTTAATATATTACAAAAGTTATTTCCTCATTTAAAAGATAAATTAATAAATGAATATGATATTCGTTCATATTCATTAAAAAATGATGCAAGACTTGTTATTAATGGTATTTTATTCAATCAAAATTTAACTGATGATTTTGAATGTTTAGGTATTGATCGTTTTACATTAGAAATAGCATTAAGAAAAGAATTATGTTTACAATATGGAAAACAAATTGAATGGATATGTAATGCAAGAGCAATTCAATTAATTGTTGATCAATCAGCTAATACTGTTCAAGGTGTAAAATATCGATTAAAACATAATATTGGTTCATCATCATTAGATATCTATGGTAATTTTATTGTTGATTGTACTGGTCGAAATACATCATCAACGAAGTGGTTAAAAGAAAGTTTCAATTTAATTGTACCAACTGTACAAATACATTTTGGTAGTGGTTATGTTACATTTATAGGTGAAAGATTTAAAACAGGAGATCCTTCATTGGATTCAAAATCTATACTTGTCAACAACGGTAATACACCCGAAAATAATATAGGATATGGTATAACTCCAATACGTACAATAAAAACAAATGATGAAAATTCCTTAGGAACTTTATCGACTATTGGATTTGGTTGCGTCAATTCAGAGTATCCACCAAATGATTCATATGAAAATTTATTAGAATGGGCAAAAGAGCATTTAGATAATGAAATTAATTCAATATTAAAATCAACTAGAGTATGTAGTCCATTGATTCCATATCGTCGGGCAATTGACGATCGAAAATATGTCGAACTATTAAGCAAAAAGTGGCCTAAAAACTATATTTTATTAGGTGATGCAATGTGTACATTTAATCCTCAATTTGGACAAGGTATAACACATGCATGTCGACATGCAAGAGAATTAAGAAAAATATTTGATGAACATTGTCATAAATTAGAAGATATTTCTTATATCTTCAATCAACGTGCTTCAGTAATCAGTGAAGAATGTTGGCTTGCTTCAACGGCAAATGATTGGAAAACACCAACATTAAAAGTAATAAAAACTGATCAAAATGGTAAAATTCAAACTTATCAACAAGATAGTAATTTCAATACAGCTAACGGTTCTAAACTACGAATACCTTTGATGGTCAAATTTTTGCAATGGTATAGTTATTGGTTTCTGCAGTATGCATCGAAATCAGGACAATTGTCTACAGACTTTTTACATGTTACCGGTCAAAGTTGCAATCCATTGATATTGATGAAACCAATAACATTCTTGCAAGTCTGTTACATGGCATTGATCCATCATTTTCGTTTATCTAAAAACTGATCTGCTCAATTTGAGTATTTGATTTCTTTGT